GCGTTCGATCATCGGGATCGATAGCGTCGAGGTCGAAGGGGGCAGAGATGCGAATGATCAATGATGACCTCGGCGCAATCGTCAAAGCGGCTTCTACGTGCGTTCAGCTGATCGATGATCCGATTTGGGCGCGATTAACGATCCTTCGTGGTGTCTGCTTGCTACCATATCGTGTCCGTTAAATAATATAGCTACACAGTTTAAAATAGTTTAAATTAATTTTTCTTTTATTTTTGTTAGATCATTCGACACTGAATAATATTTCCACATAAATCCAGTAATATCGTCTACTACTTTAATATCACATATCCTTTCTGTTTTTAATAGGAATTCAAATCGCGTGTAATTTACAAAAATACGGTAGTACATGGTAATTTTTTGTGTGAAAATCTCAACGTGTTACATCGAAGACTAAAATTTACTAGCTAAATTTGAAAACGGGGCCAAAACAAATTTATCATAAATTAATGATCTAGTTTCTAGTATATTCTGCAATGATCAGTCCTGACGAACGGCTCAGTTTGAAATTAGCAGCAAGTCGACAGAATCGATCGATTTCACGCCGAAGATCCTCTCAAGGCACCGATTCCCGGATGAAACCGCGTCATCCTTGAAAATCCCTTGACGATTCTCCACGCCGTGGCGCATTTCCTCGCCGCGGTTTCCTCGGCGCAAGTTCATAATGCCGCGATTCACCGTGGGAATCTTCCGACGAGTACCGTTGCGTCTCTTCGTTCTCGTTCGTTGTCCCATCAAACGAACCGTGATTCCATTTTATCCCCCCTCACGATTGCCATCTGGGCGAGGCGGCGGGGGTGGTTCCTCCACCTGAGAATGATTTCCAAGTCGCGTTATTACCGAACGGAATCGGCAATGACCATGCCGCTTTTCACGATTTGCCAGATGATAATAGGGAGCACGACATTTGAATGATTCGTGCCGCTTTGGTAGAGTACCGCTGCGCTACGAGCGGCAAGACTTATTCTTAGTAATTTTTTCATAGATTTTACTCATAGTAATTTTTTTTTATAGTAACAATAATAACACAGTAAATTAACTTAGTTGTTGTGCTTATTTTTTCGAACGTAATTTGTCACACTAGGTCTATTCGGAATGATACTATTATCTTGTATTAGACGTTCTATGAGTCATGGAAGAGTAAGCGAATAGTGACGACTATGGTTGCGTAATCCATAGAAAAAACGACTTTTCTTGATTGGTAAATCCACCTATTCGGTCGAGTTGCCAGGAAAAATGAAATGGTCGTGACTCGGCTGTAAAATGGTCTTTAACCGCGGAAGTGGATCATTAGCCGGACAAATGTTTTCGAAGTCTGTAAACGTCGAAATTGGGGACTTCTTTTTTATCTTCCGTAGGAAAAACAGTTGACGAACATTCTTTAAGAAACGTAATCGATCCTATGCATAATTAAAATTAACTGTACGCTATTGTTTGCTTAACCCGACATAAATCGATAGGGATCTATGAAATTAAGAACCGTGGGATCACGCAAATACGTAAAAGAATGGGCTTTTTATTAACCGGAAGCGCATTATCCGACCATCTTTTTTCTATACTCAACACGTAAACACATTCCGTGTCGAATTAAACAAGTAAGAAGTATTTGCAGAATTTTTCAAATATCTATTTATTCCATGTTAGATATTAAAAATATTGCAGTCATTGATATCTCTAGATACAAACGTTTTCACAGAAAAACACTATACTGTTTTATATTATTTTCTAAATAGTTATGGTGCTGTTTTTAACAGCTATGTTTAAAAGCTCAACATAATGTTTTTATCAAAACGCCACACAAAACAACGAAAGAACTGTCTATAATATCGGCCCACAGAAAAAAAAACCAGTTTCCCATCGGACTGACCGATATTCGATCCCACGAAACATCTCGGACGCGTCACGAAAAAAAAACTGAAGGGCAGCTCGACGCAGTTCAGGTGGAATTGCACGCGATCGTTTCACGGCGCGGTTATTACAGTTCCTCCGTCGATGATTCCTTCAGAATCCTGGAAAACGTGGCGTCGCGAGAAGCGCCTGCTGGTAACGGTTTCGCTCGCGCGAATAAAAAAGAAAAACGCGAACGCCGCTCGGTCAGGGTGTCGAACGAATTAAAAATTACAATCGATCGCCGACTGGTTCGTAATACGCGCCTTAGCCGGACCGTGAGAAACTTATCGTGCGTATTTTTGCACCGGCGATCCATAGATCGTGACTGCCTTGGCTGATCGCGGCGGTTCGCGGGAGCCCATGGTTTCGGTTCGTTAGCGGATTAATCGCGGCTTGAATGAAAATGCTGGCCAGCAACTTCTTGTACGCGCGCGAGTAAGGCATTTTTCTGTATTCCCTCGATGACCAGTTCGCGGTACCGGGATCCAGACCGGAAATGACAGGGAGAAGGAGTCTTTTGGTCTTTGAGGAAAACTCCGTTTGCATATTCATCGGGTTCAAGTATGTTGATGGCTGACTTAGGGGTTTCCGATTTGTAGTTATTCTGTGTCGATCTTTCGGGGAATGTTTTTCTTTTTATTAGGATGTAAATGACACCTAGGTCAAGTTCAAAATACCAAGATCAGGTTCAAGATACCCAGACAAAGCTCAAAATACACAGTCCAAGTTCAAAATACAAATTATCCGTGATCGACACCTCCGCCATTTTTAAAGAGCACGACCAAGTCCGGAAGTCACGGAAGGCCTCACAGAGGTCGGTCCTCGGTTTCGCAACGTGTCTCAACCCACAGCCTCCCTCCTCCTCCTCCTCCTCTCTAGCAAAGGCATCACGAAACTCCGTGTGTCCGCCTGGGAAAAGTTTCGCGCGGCACGCATTGCTGCCAATCGTCCTGGGCCCCGGAGGAAACGGGCGAAGCCTTGCAAAAGTCGCGCGCGCGAACGGCCTCACCTCCGAGTCCGCTTCCTGTTCACCGGGGCCATTGTTCGCGCCGCGGTTTCGGCGCGCATCCGTCCCGCGGAGAAAGCGTATCGCCCCCTTCGGGGCACCACGACGACGACAACGATGCGCCTTCTGTTGCGGCCGTTTCCGTCCACCGAACGTGCGGTTTCCGGTGCGTGGCGCACGTACGATATCGGGCCAACGATACCGGGCCGTTCCCGCCGCCGCCGTATCGATAGTCAGTCGGAACTGAACTGTCGCAGGTGCCGGTTGTGGTGGCCCCCTCGCAAGCCTCTCGTGAACCTTTTTCTCCTTTGATTGTTCTTCATTGGATCTAATTGTTATACCCTGTTTTTGAAAATTTTATACAATATCGTGCTACTTGTTAATATTTTTTCTTTGTATGTTTGTTTTTAAACGTTGTGACACTTTTGAGAGTTGAAGAGAGAGTTTTTTTAAATGCGATTGACAGTGATAGTGTGAATTGTTTAGGATTGACTATATCTACGTGTTGGATTTTATTTTTGTGATTTTGGGTGTGATATTAGGGATGGTAGTTGATGGGGAATTTTTTGAGTATTAGTTTCTGGATTTGTTGGTAATATTAAATTTTATTCTGAATAGATTTTTTTATTTATTTTTAACGAATTTATTTAGATTTTACAGTGGACAGTGTTTTCTAGTAAAAACTGTGCGATATCTTCTTCAATTTTTAGTAATTAATATTACATGAAATGAAGTTATTTCGAAACGATATTCATGACAATAAAGATTCTTTTTTTACAATCTATATTTTCTATTTAAGTACGCCGACGGAAACAGACGAAATATTATCTACCAAAACACACGAATGACCACAGTGCTGATTGGGTCTTATCAACTTCCTCAAACGTTAAACCCACATATCAAATTGGCCTCGTTACTCGATTCAGTCATCCCTAAAAGTGTCACAAAACCACATGAAACAAATCGTATCATTAATTTTTACCAATACTTTATTTCTCTTTAATACACATTGAACAAAAAAGAATAATATTCCTAATATTTTGACCCACAAAATTCTGCAAAATCTGTCGGTATGTTTGTTCAGATAAGACAATAACAAAGGAGAAACATAAATTTTCCTCCAAAATTGAAGTCCAGGAGGGTCGAAATAATTCGCGAAAGACATTAGTCCGTTGTAAGAACGAGAAGGATCGATCGACAGGCAAAAATCACATGGATTCTCGGAAAGGGTTGAACCCAGTCACGGTCCGTGGATATCCTGGATCCACCCTGGGAGAATATCCTGGCAGCGTTCCCGCATTCTGTGCCGGCGGAGTCCGAGTTATGAAATACCGAAGTGGAAACGCTCGAGCTGCTTCGAGAGGTGGTTTTGCATTTCAGTTTCTCGATCGAATTCCATCTTTCCTCTTTCTCTCCCCACCCCTGCTTCCCTCTCGTCTTGCATCCCTCTCTCTCCCTCTCTTTCCACGCTTTTGTTTCGCGACTGACTCGAAGGAATTTCCCGGCAATCCGAACCACTTTCCTTCCACGAGGTTTTCATCCATGACCGAAAGAAAGACTTCCATATTCGCATCCTGAAGATGAAGAAATTTCGACTCTTCTATACAAAGATTCTTTGTGTCTTCTGGACAGTCCTATCCCATGACACATTAATTATTCGTGAGGAATTTTCGATGGGAAATTGTGTAATTTGATTGAAACCTTGGTCCCTGGATTGACCTGGGCCTTTACCTGGGTACTCTCCGAGTTCTTGGAAACGGACGTCGTGGGTCTCCTTGAGACTCTATTCTTTTTTTCCGAATACACTTTATGAAATTGAGTTATTGAGTATAAATATGTCACATGGTTTATGTCCACTATAGAATGTTTATGGGCATAGTGTTGGAAATTTAGAGATAAACTGGCCAGATCTAGGAAACGATTTTCTTCGATTTACTTGAGATTAATTTTTACGAAACAATGATAAGATTTTACATATACCGTCAGGACATAAAGGGTTTTTCGATTGAATTTGAAGCGTGTAGGTTTTAGTTCTAACAGTTGTTGAACTTAGGGAATTAACGTCTGGCTCGTTTTATTGTTACAGCACCAAGATCATCCAGTGCGGGTACCAACAACCTCCCACCTCTGACGTTCCATCAGGTTCATGGTGACAATATCAGACTTTGCAATGGCGGGACCATCGCCAGAAGACACGAGAGCTTCTGCAAGGGTGTCACGTTCAGCGCGCGGCCCGTGCGAGTCGGAGAAAAGGTACTTACTCGTTGAAATTTATTAACACGTGTTACAAAAATATTAATTTTAATTATTTTCAACAATTTAGAAGTTTTGTTTTTAATTTTCTATTTTACAAAAAGAAGGTTGCTTTCCCTTTGGTTTTCTTTCTCTCCCGTAAGAAAGAAAAAAAAAAATAAACAAAAGGATACTCCTTTTATTCTTATTTGTATACAACTGAAATAACAGGTATTCAATGTTAAATAACATACACATTTGTTAAATTTTAAAATCTAATCAATTCTACTAAAAATTACAATTATCACACACATTTATCACACAAAATAGTATTCAATTCCGCTCTCCATTAAGTTCCCACAAAAAGGAAAACTCTCTCGATTCACACCTGCGATCGCCAGTAACAAAAAAAGCAAATTATGCAATCGCAAACAGAAAAAAGTAATCACCATCTGCATTCCCATTACAAATTCTCGATCGTAGTGCATAGAATAATTAACCGTACTAGCTCGCCGTTTTCCCCGATGGAAAGCATGCGCCGCTATAGCGAAGGGAAGGAAAAAAACCGCAAAGAAAAAACTTCGCCGCGATTTTTCCGCGTTTCCCAGTCTGTGTCGCGACGCAAATCGTATACGCGAGAGCGACGGTTAATTGTGAGAATCGGGTGACTTTTGTTCCGACTCGGCGACGCGCGCCGTCGTCGTTTGCATTCCCCTGTCTACTAAACCGTGGCCGACCCTGAAGAGGCCGGGGAGCTATTTCACGTGGGCCGACGGTTTAGCGTTTCCCTGTCGTTCAGCCGAGCAATCGTCTGTCCATATCCAACTTATTCGTCCCTGCGAACAGACTGAACGTAGAACGTTCATCAGACCCCGTTCTCCTTTCATCCTCGCGTCTCCTCCTCTCTGGGTTCGATGAAGGAGAGTGCCTGGGGAGCGTGGGCGAGGCATTCGAGCGTTCCTCGTGGATTTCATTGAAACACCTTGGAATTAGATTTTCGCCGTTCGATACTCCGGCGATGAGATGTTCCTTTTCGCGAATCGGGGACGGCGTGGGCGGTTATCGGTGATAATTGAGCCCTTGACAACAGTAGTGGTGTACAGTCGATAAATATTGCTTCGAAGTCAGTATTTAGAGGTTTAGCAAAAGATTTTGCAATACCTTTTGATATGCTCGTATGGGTATATCCGGATGTACTGATTATGTATACTGGGTATGAGCATTGTGTGTATGATGATGTAATATTTGAATGTGGTTATTATACTGAGTGTACTGAGTAAATGCAGATAGAGTCAGAACAGTTGAGTGATTGAGTTGATATTGACTAGATATTGACTAGATATTGACTAGATATTGACTAGATATTGACTAGATATTGATTAGATATTGACTAGACATTGACTAGATATTGAATTGATATTGAATTGATATTGAGTTGATATTGAATTCATACTAATATTGAGTTGATTATATATTCTTGAAATTACGAGAAGAGACACATAATTTACCTCTGAGAAAGAAATTTCAGATTGCATAATAATTACTGAAAAATGTAGAAATTAGTTTACTTGTATACACTGTTCAGTGATTGATAACGGGAAAAGAATGGTCCTCGCTGTTAGTTTCTCCCCGACAACCGAGCCCATTGTTTCAAACTCTCATTTTTCCCTCGAAACGTTCACAAATCCGGCCATTCGTGACGTTCCGTCATCGGGCACCGGCCGTAAAAACAGCTGTTTGAAAAGACACAGCCACGGCAAAGGCTTTCCGTTCTACGAAAAGAGACATCGTTCGACGCGAACTCGATATTTCGTAACCCCGTTCCCCACGGTTAACTATCGCCTTTGGGATTTCCGTCACGTTCCGTCTCGTGATATAACGTGGCCGAACTTGGTAGCGAAAAGAACCTTCTTCATCCACGACGACACCGAAAAAATGGCGACAACACTCCGAAAAATGTCCAAACAAGCCAAAAAACTACTAACAATCTATAACATGGTAGTAAAAAATGATCTGAATAAACATTAACTCAAAAACCATTACATATTTTCGATTTTACTAATCATTTCATTATTACAAAGAAGTATCATTTCCAAAATAAAATCTATTAATTTTTCAGTTGAATCTTATGATCATTTTTTGTATGGTTGTACTTAAAATTGATTGAACGATAAAATTCTGTCATATTCTTTCTAAGATTCATCGATTTTAATAAACCACTTCTAAGCTCGTTAATATAATACGAAGTTTGTTATTAGCGTTCACTTTTTAATTAGAGGTTCGACAGGTCCGTCCAATTATTCACGAATACGCGAGGAAAGGTTCGATTAGGGGGGGAGGAACCCCATGCCGCTTTTGAGAAATATGAAGATAGATTTAATTCCACATCGTCGACGCGGAATCGACACCCATAGACCACCGGGCTTAAATTATGCAACGGTGTGCGATCAATATTCGTGTTACACCGGCGGTGTGTCACGGCGCGGGACTCGTGATCGTTGAAAATTCACGCCTGGGCTTCTTAATCCTTTACGTTGTCACGATTTCGACTGATCCTGTTGAAAGTGAATCCCACGAATTCCGACAAAAAAGTCTCTATACATTTTAATAATTTATAGGACTTGAATAATTTTCGAAATTTTAAGAAAACCTCATATTTTAGTAAACTTGAGTAAGAAAAAAATGTGTCAGGTGTTAATTAATTGTTGCGAAGAGTAATTGAAAATGTAAAATGTAAATTAGAATTCTGAGAGTATTTATACGAGTCGAGACAGTCAGGTGTGCGAGGAACAATTTAAGTTTTGAGTTAAGGTGTTCCAGGAAACGTGAGGTCAATGTGTTTAGGTAGCTTCAGGTTCTTATTAGAAGGATTCTCATGGTCAATTTGTAGGCCACGGACGTGCCTTATGAGGAATACCGTCCCGGCGTGTGCTCTTTGATACACGGTCTTTTAATTCCGTGCTAGAAACTTGTTCGGTATTTTCTGCTCCAAGTGTAAATCCACTCTTTTTGTCTTAACAAATTCTTAGCAAGAAAGTTCGACCATACTTCGTAATTGCAACTTTCTACGATTTTTATATAAACTATTATCATCGATAAATATCCATTACAAAAATATTTATTTAATAACAATACAAACATTTGATAACTATAAAATCTAACTTTGGAATCTCAGTATATCACGTTCATCATCTGAATCCTTTCAGTTACAAACATTACTATAATTTCGAGCAGATAGCTAACGATGTCTGGTCTCTCTGTTCCAGGTCTGCGTCAAATTCCTCGAGATCTCCGACAACTGGAGCGGCGTGATACGGTTCGGTTTCACGAGCAACGACCCGATCAACCTCAGGAACGGTCTGCCGAGGTACGCCTGCCCGGACCTGACGAACAAACCCGGTTATTGGGCGAAGGCACTCGCCGAGAGGTTAGCCGAGAGGGAAACGGTCCTCTTCTACTATGTCACGTCGGCCGGTGACGTGCATTTCGGCGTCAATGGGGAGGAGAAGGGATTATTCTTCAGCGGCGTGGAGACCCGCGGCCCTCTCTGGGCTATCATCGACGTGTACGGTAACAGCACCGCCATCGAGTTCGTCGATCCCAACAGGCAACACTTCAACAACATCAGAAGAGGCGCCGAGCATAGCAACGAGGAGAACACGCAGCACAGCAGGCACACGGCCATGGAGTCGGTCGTCCCGTCCATGCAGAACCTGTCGATCGATGACATCGACGTCGACCTACCAGTGCTCAGGTTTCAGCCTCCTGATGTCATCTTCAGATCGTTACCCTTCCACTCGTAAGTAACAGATTCTACGGTTTCATCCTTCCAGCATCCCCTAACCTGGCTTTGGCATTCCTTGAATTAGGTATTAAGTCAGACATCCTATTTACCTAGTCTAGTCCATGAACCAAATGTCTTCCCATAAAAGATTAATATCCACTGCAGCTATATAGCTCTTTTCTAGTATCTAAATTTGGATCAAGTACTGGAATACATTCTCTTTCTTTTCGAAGTACTTTAATCCTGTTGCGGTACACATTGTTCTACGATACCCAATCTCAAACATCTTCCTGTAAGTTATTAGTATGGTGTACAGTTAGAACCATCTTCCGGTGCTGTTGCATAACTGATGGCTGATGTCCTTTACACGTCTAACTAATTCTGACTGGCATTTGCTGGATGGAATACTAATCAGCTCTTTCCGTGGAAGTATATTACAAATTAACATCGTGTACACTTTAATTGACTGGCTGCTTCCGCGGGAAAAGGCTTTGATGTAACTTAATATAATGGCGCCTAACGTGAGGCCTGATGCTTAGCGACTAGCCTCTATTGTGCCTTCTCGTCAGAAGTTCCAACTATCACCTTACAAATCTTCCAACTCCTCTGACTTCTTCGTGTAACGATATAAAGTATAACGTTTCCTTGTCAAGTGGATGGTCAGAACCGACACGAACTATGATCAAAACCTACAAGAACTTCTCCGCTACACGACTTGTTCCGCAGTAGACAGTCCGCTAATCGTTTCCTCGTTTCTCTTTTTTCTCCAGAATTCGCGGCAGGAACATCTACTTCAGCAACCAACAGTGCGTGGCGACGCGCAGCGACACGGAATTCTGTCACGGCTATGCGTTCACAAGCCGACCGTTGCTGCTGGGCGAGCGACTGGTCGTGCAAATCCTCTCCACGGAACCAATGTACGTCGGTGCTCTCGCTCTGGGTCTGACCTCCTGCGATCCAGCTCGATTAACCCCGGAGGACCTACCGGACGACAGTGATCTGCTTTTAGATCGTCCGGAGTACTGGGTGGTCTCGAAAGATGTAGCCTCGAATCCTCAACCGGGCGATGAGATAGCCTTCACAGTGACCCACTTTGGGGAGGTTCAAATGAGCAAAAATGACGGACCACCGAATGTCGTAATGCACGTCGACCAGAGTCTCCAGCTCTGGGCGTTCGTGGATGTTTATGGCAGCACACAAATGGTCAGAATGTTGGTCAGCAAGCCAACATCACCACCGAAACAACGTCAGAGCAATCCTTCTCCGGCGACCATTGTCCAGCAACAGCAACAACAGCAACAACAGCAGCACTCGAATCACAGCAACGCTGCCACCGAGCTCTCAAGATTCTCCGAAATGGTTCAGTTCAAGCCAGCCGTAGGTGGCGGTACTGTCCTTGTAGTGAACTTGCCGCCTCAGACAGGCTACCCAGCACCGCCTTCAACCACTACCCAGCCCACCTACGCGTCCGCTGGGCACAGAAATTCTCATGCGCACCGCACGACGACCGCTGCCGCGTCCACGTCGCATCCAGGATCATCTAGGCAATCCTCGCCGCCGTCGACGGGCACCATGGCCAGTACCGGTTCGTCGACCTATGTGGAGCCAGTTAACTACCAAAGTTTGGACGGCACCCTAACATCACAAGCGTCCTCCCACTTGCAACAATGGAGCGAGGGCCTCCAGCCAACGCCGGGACAACCAAGCGAGTGCTCGATCTGCTACGAGAGAAGCATCGACAGCGTTCTGTACATGTGCGGACACATGTGCATGTGCTATGCCTGCGCCATCCAGCAATGGTGTGGCAAAGGTGGCGGCCACTGTCCCCTCTGCAGAGCACCGATCCGAGACGTGATTCGAATCTACAGATCCTGAACGCAGGCGCAGGCTCTCCGCGGAAGGAACAGTTCCAAGGGCTGATGTCTCCTGATTCGTTAACTCCTCTGCGAATAGGCAAACGCTTCAGCCGTGGTTCTAGCACGGTGCCCGGTTGCTTTCTTAGTTCTCGGTGTTCTCGTCTCCGAGAAAGAGAAAAACTTTACTCAGGACGTAGCTGGATATATCTTCAAACGACGCGCTCAATTATTCCTCACCACCGATTTTTTGCCTCTTCGGTCTGGATACTAAGCGGGCGGCTTCTCGATTGTTGGATCGTTAGGATGTGACGGTGGTCGAAGAGACCTGTTCTTCGATGTTTTCTTGGCGGTGATTGGGCACGATATACCGATGCCCGAGTGCTGGAACACTCCTCGTCAATTAGGATGTCAATAGGAAAGAATGGGAAATTGTATCCCCGCGGTTCACTGCCACCGTTAACATACCCTCCGGACGAGAACACGGGACACGCTTTTCTGCGGACCCCGACACCACTGCCGGGTCGGTCAGCGATTTCGCTATCCTCGGTCGTGACATCGATGAAGATTATCACGCGTACAAGTGAACTCGAGACTGTTCCGATTCCGAACGAGTGACCACTAAAGAACATCGCGGTGTGAGCTATCGAGAGACCAGGAGGAGAGACTAGAGAATAAGAATGTCTGAGCGGGAGAGAAAATGAGGTATGAATGCAACAAAGAGAAAAGAGTAACATTGATCTTAGATATTTTCACAATCGACATTATTATATATTATTGCTACCATCGCCAATTACTATTACCGTTACTATTATTACAACTTACTACTGCTACTATTCTCTCAGCCTTTAGTTATTATTATTTTTATTATTATTATTAATATTATTAATTATTCTACATGAATAGTGGTCATTATATTATTATTCTTATCGAGAGTAGACGTTGTTGTGTCGAGTACGATTTGCTATCGTTATTTTTATTGCTCCGGACCATCGTCTAGACGCACCCATGGACAGACATCGGCCGAGATCGATCGTTAACGTGGCTCCATATTATTTAATACAACAGTGTGATTACAGTACCTCCCGGGATTAGTGTCCACTTCCATATCCTCACGGGTTAGTGTCCACGAGTCATTCCTCGCCACATTTTTTGCCAATTCGACGCGAGGTCGTCGCATATTACAGTCGACTCGGCGTGTCATGTCGATGAGAACACTCGTCCTCGTTTTGTGCACTCTCCACATTACACATCTTCTCCGTAAGAGTGCCAATGAGCGGATCCGAATCGTGGACTCTAACCCAGGATATTCTGTAGGTAGTTCGAACCCTTCCGAGGCTCCTAAGGTGTCGTAGATTATACACTTTTTGGTTTCCACTTTCTTTGATTCTTTTTCATTTCGTCACAGACGAGGTATGATGTACTCTGAATTCCGTATAACGAGAAATATACCGAAATCTGGTAAATAATCAATGGTTCAGTAGCGCAACCTATTCATTCAAGTCACAGTAAGAAGCCAAAAATCACTTACATGCAGTGACACAAAATGGCTCAAATAATGTTATCATATTCGTCTAGATCAAATGTACAGTCTTATTTTATTTGTTAGAATTGAGTAAAAGAGATAGATTGTTGGAAAGGAAGTTTAGGGAAATTAGATAACGAAACATTGTCACAAATTATTTATTCTGTTGTTCAAACATAAAAATGATACATTAGGTATTCACAAGCTGCCAAAATAACTGCCAACAATGCATAATTTCATTGCACTCTGGCTCATTGACAGTATGGGGAATCACAGTACCCCTAGTCTGTTCACAGAGGTTTCTACTGGCCTATCCTGTACCTCGTCTGGCAATTTTCGTTCTTTTTTCCTACGAGTTGCTCTCGTGGTTGGAACAACCGCGCGCTCTGAATCACCGATATCCCCGCGTGCCCCTCCCCCACCCCCATCCAGCCGAACTTAGGCGTGTGTACTCCTCGTTTGTTAATTTCGACAATAACGCTTGGATATAATAACATGTAAGTCGTTCGGCGTCAGCGCGCGGAGCCGGCCCCTTAGCCGTGTATCTATAATGACTACAATAATCGTACGTATTACCAAAGAAAAGCGCGACACTCTTCTCCCGCTCTGCGTACGTTCCAAAAAACAAGCTCACGCACATTCTCCACGCAAGCCAGCCTTAAAAGGACGATGGTTTTTTGATACGTTTAGACTTAGCGTTACCGTTTCTACCAAGCAAGAGAGAATCATGGGCTCGTCCGGGAGTGGTCTGATCGTAACACGTCCGCGGCGTTAGACATAACTTAGCCAAGAGTCGGTTCGAATTTCATTGAAAAAAAGTTTGAATCCTGTTCCATCCCATATTGGGGCGGCGCGACGAGACGCTATTGTAGACGCAGACTCCATGTTGGATTCCTAACTGTATTTACCGTAAGAGTACAAGGCAAAGTTACTATGTTAGCTTGCGTAGCGTTTTAAGGGACAGCGACAAAGTTTAGAGGCTTTTATCAGTGTTAACGAGTAAAAAGAAATTATTTGAGGAGCACTGAGGCCGAGCGGTTCGGGTCCTTTCGACTCTCAACAAGTCTGATAACGACCGTTAGATCCCAGAAACTTCTAAGCTGAGATAAATTCTATACGTTGAAACTTAACCTGATTCAGTCTCGAAATCCTCCTGCAGGATACAGCTACACGGTTCTCCATCTGCAATGATAAATGTAAATGGACGAGGAACTCGTGTAAGTGTATCCTGGTCTGCTTAAAGCCCCACTGTCTTCTCGAGAGAAAGGATGCAATGTCGCTTGGCAACTGGACTCCTCATTTGTTATGGACTAAAAACGATTTATAGAACCTGCTAGCGTCTCTCGCGACCGTTTCACCGATGACTTTTTGAAATCACGAGCGAGACCGATCGTTGCGATCCACCCGGGCCAGCCCTTCACTGCCTCATTGTAACGTGAACAATCGAGACGACGGACCGTGGAACGACCCTGGCGATTTCGTTTCACGGCCCGGTCGATCCACGAGGATCCTCTCTATGTGTAAGATCACTTTATTTTCGTACAGCAGCGAGACGTGCCCAAGGGCGGCGACGTTTTTTCCTCCCCATCACCGGCCCTCGAACGCGTTCCAGATCCCATGATCGGGCGGACGAGTGACGAGCGTCCTCGAGGCCGTGCCTTATAAAACATTACCGACGCGTCTTGTCGTGTGACGTTTGCTCGCCGAGCTTTTCTTATCGGTCGACGGAGTATATCGCCCCCTGGGCCAGAAGTTCGTCTCCTAACCACCGTTCTGACGATCCCCGAGAGGCAATGCCTCCGCTCCCCCGTCGAGCCTTGCCAGAGGCGTTCGTTCGAATTCTTCTGAAAACGAGCCAACGAGCAGCGAATATTTTGGGTATCCGATGATCGTGACTTGTTCTGCCAGTGCTAGATTAATGGACAAATAGCTGATGATTGACTGTACTTGTATTTCGTTTTTAACTTTTCTACTTCCGATGCGTTTGTGTATAGTTTGAATTGTGGTTAAGAGTAGTTTCGGTCTCTGACCCTTTGCAGTATGACGCTAGTTGAATGTCGTTTGGGAAACGATTTAAGCGTGTCTTTGATTGTAACAGCTTACCAAAATGTAAAGGCCGTTTATATAGACCGCTGTCGAGTAATAGTGAATACGATGATATTTATTGGGACTGCAAAGGGTTAATTAAATTAATCGTTTTGCGAGTGCAAATTCTCGAGGGTGTATTAATGGCATCGCTTGTGTTTGAGAGTAAAACATACTAGTGAAACGTAGCCGCGTCTGTGGGATCCAGACAATTCTCTGTGAAAGTAGATATATCTCTATATTTAAAATAATATTCTGTAAATTTTGTACATTCGAATTACCAAAATTGCAAAATATAAAAGTACTTTTTAACTGAAATTAATTTCACTATAAGTTTACTCTTTGCAAAGTCGTCCTAACTTTGCCTAACCACAAATTATAGTATCTTGCAGGTGATAAAACACCCGTGTTTCTTTCTATTTTCAATCATTTACTAATTAAACGACTATTAGTTACACTGTACGTCTTCAACGTATTACAGTAAGACAAACGCATCAGAAACCAGTAGAAATCCATAAGTTTGCCACTTGGTACCATTGCTTTTGTCAGAACACAGAACGTCATCGCCTAGTCACAGCTGCTCGTCTACCGTTTCCGGCGCTACCGTTTCCACTCACGCATCCGGCGATAAATCAAACGGAGCAGCGAACCGTCGAGCAAATCCACATTCTCCGACGAAAGCGTGCTGCTTTTTTGCGGGGTCAAGGAAATGCTGGCGAGACAATTCACTGGAAAGGGAAACAAAGAGAGAAAGACCGAGTGAGAGTGTGTAAAAGAGTTGTCGAATCCCTCGAGAGGAAACACGAGATCGTCGTGAACAAAAAGAAAATTGGGATCGCTGTGCCTCCTGCCACGTTTCCAGGGGACGCAAGAGCGAAACGACAGGGAAGTAGAGAGAAACAGAGAGAAAACGAATGGTCCTTCTCGAATGCGCAATAAAGCAGTAGTAAAATCTCTAGTCCAGCGAGTGGCAGCTTTAACTCGCCTGCCAATCCAAAAAAAAAAAGAAGAAATGATAAGGAAGAATGATGTTGATTTATGAAGAAAGGAGGCAGTCTTTTAAAAAACTGCAGTAGAGCGTGTGAGGGAGAGAGAGAAAGAGAGGAAGAGTGTATGTGTGTGAGAGAGAGAGAGAGAGAGAGAGAGAAAGAGCTAAAAGAGAGATGAAATTTTATAAAGATACAAAGTTTTAATGAAAAAAGAGGAATAATTTGCAAATTATCGCGTGTGGCCAGACGAGGCGCACGCGCAACGGAGAATCTTTTATTAGGTAAACGCTATTAACGATAGGAATTTATTGTAATCGCGTTCGGCGTCGATGAGAGGTGTCCAGAATGGCGAAATTTGCACGCGATCGAATCGAGGGCCCTCCTCCTTTGATTCGTTCAGCGTACGATACAAGGTTCCGGCTGATGAAACCAGAAAAACTTTTTGTCGTTTTATTAAAAACAAAAAAAAAAGACGAAGCGATGAGTGCAGCTTTCGAGCGAGATCATCTTAACGATTATATACAGACGCTCTCGTTGATGTCAACCGAGATCATTGTCGTCGTCGTGTCAGCGTTACCGTGCTATCGATGTGTACCGATTGGATTGATCCTTTCTTGTGCTACGAGCGATCAACGGATATCCGTATTAAAAGCAACGATGATTTATCGAGCCAGATACATCTCGACTCTAGCACCGGGAGTGGATCAACAGTGTTTTTACTTTTCCTCACTATCGCTATATTCTCCTTCCCGCAAGCCCTTTTTAAGCGCCCTCTGTTTGTATCTCGACGAAGTTTTATTAACAAGAGTTGGCGGCAGCCCCGAAAGAGAGAGAGAGAGAGAGAGAGAGAGAGAGAGAGAGAGAGAGAGAAAGACAGTACAGGATTTCCTTCTTCGATTGTCACACGAGGACGCTATTCCCTTAGATCTTTTTTTTTATGTGTATTTTTCGTTCCTTTCGATTTTTATCCTTTTTTTTTTATTTTTGTTCTTCCGTCGCTCGGCGTGATACCACGCACGCACGCACAAGAGAACACACGAGTGGGTAAGCGTACGCGCGTGCACACGCGTCACCATATCAAACCGAGTGTGCTGTCCGTTACGTCGCAGTAATAAAAGATACATAACGTGTTCCCTTGTCTTACCCGCGACCCCCTCCCCGTACCCCCCGAAGATGTGAAAGAAGTCTATGTGCGATAAGAGTTCTCTCCGTGAACGTAACTGTAAAGATGCCGATACAAATTTATACATATGTAATATAATTCATGCGGCCGTGTGCTGTTCTACAATAAAAAGCCTGTAATATCTATAAGCACCGTCTCGTGTCGGAGTTTCATTAATCTTTTCCTGTGAACCGGAACATATCGCTACTGATAGATCACCGATGAACATAGACAGTTACAAATGGGTCGTTTGTTAAGTAGCAAATTTATTATACAGATTCCCACAGTTGTAACGTTGAAGATGAGGATTTTGTTTTTTTTATTAACAGGACAAAATGTTTATACATTAGTTTTGGGAATAATAGATTATGGTTAACGTCTGCTTGTTTTTTAGTTGGATCTGATAAAAGTTTTATCTTTTAGAATATTTTGCAGAGCTTTATTGGCTATAAATGCATAAACTCAGAAGTCTAATTATTATTAGTAATGCAAGTCAATAAGTAAACCGTAGGTAGAAAAGAAGTAAAAGATTTATTAATGATGAGGACAAAAGACATGTACATAAATGGACAATAAAAAGAACATTAAAAGATATTAAAACAATGTACAGGGACGACTATAAACAAAATCAATCAAAACAATGTATATAGGTTGTACAAAAGGGATGCGTTCGTTCAGTTGGATTTCGTCCAATGACAAAAAGGTGTGTCAGAGGATATAACGTTCGATCTAGTTTTCATCTTCCCCTTCCCCAGCATCGGTCGAGTCCATGCCGACTTCTTCGTAATCTTTTTCCAAAGCGGCCAGATCTTCCCTCGCTTCGTTGAACTCACTTTCGTCCATACTTTCGGCAACGTACCTGTACGTAAAATATTTGTCTTATTTTCTTTTTTTTTATTACCTTGTCTTATTAACTCTATTCCATACATCTTCGATCTATGATAATAAATATAATATCTTCATTTTAATAACCAAAATGCAATTTACATCGTTCAAGATTTAGAAATGTTTTGGAAATAGAACTTGCTTGACCTTTGTAAAAGAATATAGAACGTAAAGTGATTTCGTACATCACGATGAATTTCTTATAAATGATTATGAAATTTTATGTTAAACCTTACCAGTGAACAAAAGCGCGTTTCCCGAACATCAGATCGAATTTCCTGTTTAATCTCGTCCATGCTTCCGCAATTGCGGTCGTGTTTGCAAGCATCGCCATAGCTCTTTGCACTTTGGCTAAATCACCACCTGGTACCACGGTAGGTGGTTGATAATTGATACCCACCTGAAAATGCAATTATTATTTCCTTTATCTAAGTCGTTCGTGCTGAAATATAATACAATAATCCACACTTTTATGTGCGTCAATCAGACCTGGGCACTATTGAAATGATATCATTTGAGATATCATTTCAAATAACATATTATTTTATTTTCTACACATTCGAAATAATCCTTAAAAATAATTGTGAAATTGTTTTTGACCCAAGCAAAAATCTTTCACAGATGAACTTTCTGAAGAGCGGGTTCTGCTTAAAGCAAATTACTGTAAAGATTTCTCAAAATAAAATCTTTAATGCATATTATTTTGAATATTATTTCTTCTGCTACAAAAATAAAATAATTCATTATTCGAAATTGCTATTATTTCAAATGACTCCATAATATTTTTATTTTCGAATAACACTATTGAAAAGAAACTTCCGAAATGACATATTTCAAACAGTTATTTCTTATTTTCATTTCAAACAAAACCTGCCCAGGTCTAGCGTCAAGTACCTACTGCAAACACAAAAGATCCCAATACCTTGAACCCAGTGGGACACCAATCGACAAACTGAATAGCCCTCTTTGTTTTGATCGTCGCGATGGACGCGTTAACATCCTTGGGCACCACGTCCCCTCTATACAACAAGCAACAAGCCATATATTTTCCTCTGTGGGGATTGCATTTGACCATTTGCATGGCGGGTTCGAAGCACGAGGACGTCAGCTCCATAACAGTCAATTGTTCGTGATAAGCCTTCTCGATAGAAACGATGGGTGCGTACGTTGCCAGAGGGAAGTGTATCCTTGGATAGGGTACCAGGTTCGTCTGAAACTCGGTCAGGTCGACATTCAAAGCTCCGTCGAATCTCAGCGACGCTGTGATCGAGGACACGATCTGTCCAATCAGTCTGTTCAAGTTCGTGTAAGTGGGACGTTCGATGTCCAAGTTCCGTCTGCAAATATCATAAATCGCCTCGTTGTCCACGAGGAACGCGCAATCAGAGTGCTCCAGTGTTGTGTGCGTGGTTAGAATTGCGTTGTAAGGTTCGACGACCGCGGTGGAGATTTGGGGCGAAGGATAGATCGCGAATTCTAGCTTGGCCTTCTTCCCGTAGTCCATCGAGAGACGCTCCATTAACAGACTCGTGAACCCGGAACCGGTACCGCCGCCGAACGCGTGGAAGATCAAGAAACCCTGCAGACCGCTGCACATGTCCGCGATCTTACGGATTCTGTCGAGGACCAAATCGATTATCTCCTTTCCCAAGGTGTAGTGACCTCTCGCGTAATTGTTCGCGGCGTCCTCCTTGCCGGAGATCAGTTGCTCGGGGTGGAATAGTTGGTGGTAGGTGCCCGTTCGTACTTCGTCTAAGGAAGATCGGTTAGTTTTAATTTAATTTTATATATAAAGGATGAACCACGAATCGTGATTAGTAGATATCATTAGATATGTTCCCATGTACAGAACGAAATGTTTACAAACAGTATGCAGGAGCTGAACATCGGAATTAATTTTTCCTATTTTTCATATGGAAATCTATACAGTATAAAAAGGTGTAGATATTAAAAAATCTAATTTTCATGATGCCAGATGTTTATTAATATTATTATAATTTAAAATTCGATTTTAATAGTTACGAAATTACTTGAGTGTTCATTCATTGGTGCGTTTACCTTATATAGTTTCAAAATGTTAATATGGATTTGGCTATCGTAGATATAGGGTTTACCTATGACCGTAGGCTCAAGGTCCAAAAATACCGCTCGCGGAACGTACTTTCCACCGCCGGTTTCGCTAAAAAAAGTTTGGAAACCCTCGTCGCTGGAGCAACTTTGCGGCGGTAGCATACCATCGGGTTGAATTCCGTGTTCCAGGCAATAGAGTTCCCAGCAAGCGTTCCCCATTTGGACGCCGCCTTGGCCGATGTGGACTGACAGTACTTCACGCTAATATAAATTGGGCGAAAATTGGTAAAAGGGACTGTACTTGCATAGATTTGTAAAAATCCTTGGTTTCATTTCAGATTGAGGTTGATTTGAGATTGAAATACCGTAAGCTCAATTCGGAAAAGATTTTACTTTCCATATTTTCGTAATTTCTCAGTTAGCACATAACGTCCAATGACGCCCTGAAGACGGCTTAAAGGTGCCTTAGACCTAAAATAGCCGTAAAATAGGCGTCCTCAAGGCGTCGTGTCTATCTGGAAGTTATCTTTAGGGATTTTTTCCTCAATAAATACAATATGTAATGAAATACATCTTTTTAAGGAGAAATGGAATAATAATTACCATTCTGGCGGTGATTTAAAGATTTTATGGAAGGGAAGAGGAACGATCAAGTTGACAGGATGAACGTCGGAATCCAATTGAATAAACGATGTCTTGCAAAGGAATTCTGTTTTCGTTGCCGAGAGACGGTTGTAATTACAGTGAAGTAATTAATACATTGAATGAGCATCGTGAAATTAGTTTGGAGTGTTTTCAAATAATTTAGAATTTAGAGATTTCGTAATCGTATGTAGCAAGCAGACTGCCGATTAGATAGTAGAATACTTTTGCCGTGTTAATCAATCTACATTACTTCAATATAATTTATGTACGACACTAATCAATTACTATTAGCAATGCTGTAATGTCTTCTAATTGCGTTTTTCATAAAAATTTAAGGTTAATTAATTTTTGCCAAAAGGTAGACTTTAAATTATGAAAGCTTACACTCGTTCGAAATACCACTTAAAAGTTCTTTATTTTAACATACATTGTACAATAACTGACAAATTTGTTATGCTCCTAATAAAATACTAAACAGCAAATTAAATTCTTTATCAAGTGTCTAATAGATGCAGAAATTATTTTTTAAATTTATTGGAGTAGGAGACGAAATTGTAAATTGTAAGATGTTTAGAAATCTTTCACTATTTCTGTGTTCTTGAAGATTTATTATAATGTTACATTAAAATATTTATTCTGTCTTGTTAAGGGTAGTCACCCCTGTTCCAAGGACAGTTTTGCAACGTTTACTATCGGACGAGGTGGCCGAGAGGTTAAGGCGTTGGACTGCTAATCCAATGTGCTCTGCACGCGTGGGTTCGAATCCCATCCTCGTCGATTACTTTTTTTACTTTTAGTATGTCACAATATTGAATTTGCTCATTATAAAACACGTTCGATTATGAATGAAAATACGTAATGCTCCTATTCTATTATAAAAACGTAAGTCGTTAAATGTGTTAATAATTACGTGCAAGAAATTAATAGCAAAAATATTAGAATGCAATACATGCAATTATAATCGACGTAAAGTGAATATATTTATTTTCAATTAACACCAAAAAATAAATTTGATGATAATCAACATTGTAGTCGGAAGGATATATAAAAAATGTTATTTGTATTTTTGTTAAGTTCAAAGAAGTATTTTATTGTAAAATATAATTTATTATATAAATTATTTACTATCTAGTTATTACAAAAATATCGTTTAACAAGTGTGGACAATAGAATAATATATTACACATATCTCGTACATAATTTAGTACGCATGTTATATTTATACACTGATATTTCAAATGCAGAATAAAAATATACTTCTGTGTTAATCGTATATTATCAAAGGCACCATTTGTAGTTCAGAGGTGTTACACGTTTCTCATTACTGGCAGTGAGCGAATTGAAGCGGGTCATGTTAAGAGTGAGTTTAAGATTATGTTTCGACCATTAATTATTTTTGGTTCTAACTTAACGGACACGCGACATTTTCTTACTCTTGTCGTTTTCAATCGGCGGTGGTGGTCCTTTGGCATTTAGATGTCGATTATACACACTGGAAGAAGTGAAATAGATTATTTATATTTCAAAGTATTTTTAATACATAAAGAGATAATTATAATACTTACTATTTATATGTTTCAGAACGAATGTAATCCATAACATGGGATATGCCCACCTGAAGTTGATCACCAATTGGTGTAACCCATGGATTAAACTCCATTCTAAATACTGCTTTATTACTTACTAAGTCCAAATTTCCTATAACACAATTCTTACTTAAGTTCTCGCCAAATCTAGGTGAGATTTGAAAAAGATTTAGCTTGATTGTAATTGGCACATACCTATTTCTGGGGGCAATACAGTCAATCGATTCCCTTGAATGTGTAGCTCTCTCAGTCGTGTTAATTCCCCAATTTCTTTTGGTAATTCTATTAAGTCATTCTCTCTTAACACAAGCTAGAATAAAATAAAAACTCGAATGTAAACTTGTAAGCAATGAAACAAAATTTAATATTTATGACAATGCTCCTATACTCACTATTTGCAGATTTTTCAACTGTCCAATGGCAGGTGGTAAATATTCAAAGTCATTATCAGCCAAATAAAGTGCTCTCAGGGTTTCTACAAAAAAAAAGAATCTGAGATTTATCCTGCAACAAGTACTACAATTTTATAGTATAAATTTTATGTACCAACCCATCATAAAAAAGTTTCCTGGTAAATTTTTCTCACTAAGGTTATTATACGTCAGATCTAAAACCTCTAACACTGGAAAGGCACCAAATCCACGTGGAAGTGAATCCAACCTGTTCATTCTGTACATTTATATGACCGATTATACTAGCATGCTCTGAAATATTTATATGCTACATAAACAGTACGTATAAGAATATTACCCAACATTGAGAATCCTTAATTTTGGCATCTGCGATAAGGAGATAGGAAGCTCAACAATATGATTATTAAACAGATTCAAAATTTCTAGATTGACCAAGTTGGCAAGTCCTGGTGGTACAGCTACAGGACGAAGAATTTGTAAATAACAAAATTTGTTATCAAATTTTTATCAAACTACGTCACACTACTGGGATTTACCTTGAATCTTGTTATGACTTAGGGTCAGCCTAGTTATATTGATCATGTTAACTAAAAAAGAATGAAACAAGTACATTCATTACAATATTTTTAGACTTCGAAAAACTTTAGAGAAATAAAATCGAAAGATCATTTCAGTGTATAACTATTGTCAATAATGTCTGAGACTTGAATTATTAGTGAAATTTATATTTACATCTGTATTCATATTTCTGATAATCAAAGTTCATAATAGATTATTGATTTTATTAATTTTATTAATAGTGTTTCGAATTAATCTTTGAAACAAATTCGCGCGCATGCGTCGACACGCCCACCTTGTGGGCAAGCGACAAATGGCCTCCTCGGATTTCCATCCACTCCGCAAACCAGTCAAGACAAGTTGCCTAATTTGGCGATCGGTACGGGTACCATGAGGATATGGAGGACTCACGTAATCCAGGCATCTCCTCGAACGTCGAGATACCCTTGTCTGCGAGATCCAGCTCGGGATTTTGGATCTCGCGGGCTTCATCGAGCACCTTCTTCGCTTTTGACATCTTCCCGGCTGGAATACACGAAACTGGTGCTTGATTCATTGCGCGCGCAATTGTACCAACACGTCAGTAAGCTTTAAATAAACGTGCGCGCACCTCCAGCGACTTCATTCACTGTCTCACTGTTTTCATTTTATCCAGTGTTGGGATCTTGTCATTGATCACCAACAGATGTCGCCCCAGTATTGTTAGCATGGTTTTATTTCATCTACTCACAGCAAGAGGTCTTTGGGAGACAATACCATCGACTAGGTATAGAATAAACCTATCAACCAATGTTTAACGTATCTTAACGATTTATGTCGCAAAAAATTGCTCCCAATTTACCCCTTCCGAATCTGAAGTTGCTCCCCCAGCACCGTTAATAATTAATGAGATATTCACAAAAGAAAAAGTACCAACTTGTTGTTAACAAAATAGGTAGTAAATGACCTTTTTACACAAATATTATGGTACTAAAAATTTGCTCCTGATCTGTGTTATAATAATGAATAGTCAGATATCTCAATAACTTTGCTCGCGAGGGTACATCTCACAAACACGGGGTCTCTGGCGCGTCCTCCGGGGGCTCCATGACCCCGCGGTCATACCACACTGGGTCACTGGCGCCACCGGAAAATAGTTGGCGCCGAATGTTAACGTATCTTAACGATTTATATCTCAAAACATTGCCCCTTTCGTTTCGACCAAGCATTCAATTTGTAGCTTAAAGAACGTAGATTAATCCCCTGTCATTGACAATAACAATAAACGGCAAGAACACTGTTAAAATCACACTTTATTTGCAACGGTTGACACT